GGGGGTAAGTTTACGGATGTACAACACTAAAATTCCGGGTTCGAATCCTCTGGGTGGACAGAGCAGTGTAACTTTGCCCTAAAACAAATTACAACGTTAGAAAAAATTGTAAATTTAAACTATCCTGCCGGTTTTATTTATTTATTGTTATAATAGTTTTCAAATGCCCAGGTTGTTATTTGAATACCGTTTCAAAATGTTTTTTTAACCGTGTTTTACATTATAATATAAGTTTTCCTTTTTCTTGTACTATGGTGCAATCTTTTGTGAATTAGTGTTGCCTAAGTCGATACAAAAATCGAAAAAACTTCTAAATTTTTGACAAAAAAAATTAAATTTATTTTTGATTAAACTTACATTCCATACATTATCCAAGTCTATGTAATTGAATGGTTTAAGGCATCATAATATTAGACCGCATAATTTTGTTCACAAAATAACCAGACTAAACAAAGGAAAGAATTTTGATACTTTCAATGAGCATCTTAAATAAAATTACCTAACTATAGAAACTTTGCTATATGAACACTTGCTTGGGCCTATCCAAGTGGTTAAAGTGCTTCAATTGTGAATCTGGATGTTCATGCTATAAGTCTTGTTGCCGAAAAACAAAACAACAGGAACAAAAAATAACAACAACAAAAAACGCCCGATGCAGTTTACAACCGAGGTGCGCTATCAGAGTAACGGTCAAACTCGTATTTTCTGTCAGACAAGAGCAGACCAACAGTTGGTGGCGATGAGCGTTGTTGACTAACAGCATCCAGTCTAGTGTATCACTTCAAAACTGAAGATGGCCAAGGACAGATAGACCTTGTCTAAATAAACAAACTGTATTGACATGGATGAAAGCAGAGCGTAACCGAACGGTTAACGTGCCAGAATGTAGATATGTGTGTGTGTGTGTGTACAGTGTTCACATCCTGTTACTGACAAAAAAAGCAAAAGAAAAAAAAGCACTCTGGATACGTTAAAAATAGTGAGGATTGAAACCTACTATTCGGTTATATAAGAGTAGCCCAAGAGTTGGCGGTGGTTGTGTAGAATAGCTGCCTTTCCTCTAGTCTATCAGTTCAAAATTAAGGACGGCTAATACAGATAACTCTTGATTAGTTTTTGAGCGAATATACGGTAAATAGACAAACAAATGTGACATAGATGAATAAGACGCCCTCTATCAACGTATATAGAGATTTTATACAAAGCATTTCAGATTGGCTGTGGCTTATCTCACAGTCAGAGTTGAAGTGAAGGAGGAGAGATTTCCATAGGTAATAGCAACGTTTTTGTTCCCGTTAAACACGCGACTTAAAAAAACCAAAAACAACAACAAAAGATATTGGAACATGACGCACGAATAGATGTTACGTGTGTTTGAGATTTTGGAGCAATATGTTTTCAAATATCTATATAATATTTTACACATTATGGATTAGTTTTGCCATAAACAAACAAACCAGTGACATATGAGTGTGGATATAACGCGTATAGTTGGATGAAATACTATTATTATACACTCTTCTAATTCTAGAAAAATCCGTAAGGGAATATATTAGGAATGTAGTGTTAAAAAGTATAATAGGCCTAACATAATGTCTTACAACAAATGTAATTAACTAGCGTAAAATCCCTTCAAAAATGACGGGAAACCACTGGAAGCCAAAACTATTCCGTATAAAACTGGAAATACACAAAATAAATAAATAACGGAAATATAAATTTTCTTTTCCCAGAAACATGCTACATATTGGTGCCTTTGAATAAAAGATTAAAACATACGATGACCATGTGATTGCATACACACCTGTTTTTCTTTTGAAGAAAAGCTGTCCTCTTCCCTACAGATAATTGGTATCTTCAGTCTGTTTTAACAAAAACTTTTTCTTGATAATTCCAAAGCATAGACTTGCGCTAATTTTTGACAGGGGTCTACCCGGTTTTCCCTATTCGGATCCTACCTAGCTTGATGTTATAATGATGTGGATGATGTGGTGTAACACACACGTAACGACATGTCTGATCTGGTCCTGGGAACTATTTCCTTGAACTGATTTTCTTTAGCAGAAAAAGTGTCGAAATTTAGGAGCTATTTACGCCTATGTTAGCGATTAAATTCAACTTAAATGGGAACGGGCAATCGAAAGAGGAAGCATTACAGGAGTTTCTTTGTTTGTTTGTTTTGAATTAAGCACAAAGCAACACAATGGGCTATCTGTGCTCTGCCCACCACGGATATCGATACCCGGTTTTTAGCGTTGTAAGTCCGCAGACATTCCGCTGGTGCCACTGAGGGGGGCGTATTATAGGAGAAAAAGTGGAAATGGGCTCATGTAACTCAAGAAATTCGGATAAATCGAGTGTGATTGACTCACTGACCAATCGGCACTTGGCTTTTACATATATTGATTATATAAGGCTTCGCCAGCTTCTAAAACAAACCAGTGACATTTACTGAAACATACTTAAGAAACAACAAGAATGTTTTTACATATTCAGTTATGCTACCTTTGAAGTTTCAAAAAAAGATTAAATTTTCACGTAGATTTTATCAAAGCTATTTTAAAACAGTTATTGAATTATTTCTTATGTTGTTGTTTTTTTGTATTGTAGTCTATCAAATTTTGTGCCTCTCGTGATCAAATCTTAAAAAAACACAACTAGGTTTATTTTTATGTAGTTAATCCCTAAATTCCTAAAATCTTTTAGTTAATGGTGCTTTTTGAAGCATCTCTAAAAGAAATTCGAATCTTAACTTATTATTTATCCCATGCCATCATCACAGCTTTGAATTCAAGTATACTCTTGTAAAAGATAATCACAATATAGTGTTGTTTTCACTCAATAGATGTCAGGACCATATTGGAAGACTATGCTGTGACATGTTCTCATTGTGACGAAGCATTCGCTGGTAGTCAGGCGTTATATGCTCTTCGTGATCATATAAAAACAGCCCACCAAGATCTGCAACAGCCCGTAAATAAGAAAGAAAATAACAAACACGTATGCCCTAAATGTAATGTCTCATTTTTGGAGAAGTCTCATCTGGAGAAACACGAGCTCCTCCACGTAACGCCGGGCAAGGTTGGTTTTTTTTGTTTTTTTTACTGGAACTATCAGAAGCCTTAATACTATCCTAGACATTTCTATTTAATACGAATGAAAACGTAAAGTACAATAATGACTAAAATATATTGTTATTAAGTAAAAGTAGTTAAATGTCTATAAAACTGTTGATAGAAGAAAGGAGTACAGCATAAAAACATTTTGAAAAACTCGCATGTCTGGTAATAGTTTGTCTTAAAGAGACACAAAATGAAGTGAAACATGTTGTAGTTGATTAATAATTATTTTTCAAGGTATTTTACACAAGAACAAATTATTTTATTCTAATATTTAGGGAGTGTATTAAGCATCTTAAAAAGTGGAGTCCGAAACGTTATCAAAGAATCCGATAATAGACTGTAGAAGCCTTTAGTAATGTTTACCAAAAAAATTTACATTGTTTCATAAAATACGAAAATATTGGTTTTACTCAAAAAATATATTGTTGAATCATCTCTGCTATAAAATGTTCAAATTTTTACCTTTAATGCTTGCTACATTGAATAAAGAGTGTTTTGATTCTCGTCCTGCTTTAGGAACAGCAACACTTAAACAGCGACAATGTGAATTTCGGACTTCGAAAGTTTAAGTGTTTAGAATGTTCCCTTTAGTGTTACATTAGGAAGAGCAACATTGATAAGCATCAATGTTATTTTTGGGCTTTGGAAGTTTAATTGTTTAGAATGTTCAGAATGTTTCCTTTAGTGTTACATTGTAAAAAAAAACGTTTTTCTTGCCGCGCTTTAGGAAGAGCAACATTGATCAGCAACAATGTTTACTGTGGACTTTGCAAGTTTAAGTGTTCAGAATGTTCCCTTTAGTGTTACATTATACAAAGATTGTTTTTCTCGCCATCTTTAGGAACAGTGTTAATTGTGAACTTCGGAAGCTTAAGTGTAGAATGTTCTCTTTAGAATTACATTGTATAAAGAGAGTTTTTCTCGCCGTGCTTTAGGTACAGCAACACTTGAAGAGCAAAAATGTTACTTCTGGACTTCGGAGACTTAAGTGCTTAGAATATTTCCTTTAGTGTTACATAGTACAACTAAAGAAAGAACATTTAAAAAAAAGATGTAAATCTAGGGATGGTAAATATCAATTTTTCTTAAACAATACGAATAAGATAGTAGGGATGGCACTTCCATCATCCCTACCTAATAGACAGGCACACAGTGTAGTAGAATGTTAACAGACAAAAATAGGATACATTAAACTCAACTGTTATATGTTAATTCTTGCCTGTGCTATTATGCAGAGATGATGCAAATGCCATCCCTACTATCTTGTTTACATTGTTTTTGAAGAATTGATATTAGCCATCCCTACATTTACTTCCTTTTTTAAAAAGTTTTTCCTTGCTTGTTTGCTTGCCTTTTCCAATGCAGTGTTTCAGGAAGGTTGTATTTATAACAAGTTCTAAATACAAAGAGGTTCCAACTTTAATATTTGTTGTTTATCTATTATTGACTGGTAATTCCTGTTTCACCCTGTACTTAAGCTTAAAAAAAACACACCAAAAACACCAAATTTTTGTAAGAAAGCTAACTTCAAGGGGTATGATAACATCGTTTACACTAAAATTATTATTGTTTTAATTACTACTAGTTATTAATAATACTTCTAAATGCGGATTTTCCGTTTGAAACTATATTACCTCAGTGAAATTGGTTGACACCATAATTTTGGTTTTGAGTTAAATGTAATATAAATGAAGCAGAAGAAAGAAGAACAAGAAATTCAAACATTTTTCTATGTTATTTATAAACATTCCCAGAATTTATGACTCAGTCATTACATAGATATTGTTATAAAAAGAAAAACCGTATAGTATTGTAAAATTCTGATGATCTATTGAGGAGATATTGAAAATACTATTCCGATGAACAATCCGAGCCATCCCTACGTAGGAAGTGCTGCCACCTGCCTGATAAGAAGAGCAAAATTGATAGTTCAGGACTTTGGCAGTTTAAGTGTTTAGAAGGTTCCCTTTAGTGTTACATTATATAAAGAATGGTTTTCTTGCCGTGCTTTAGGTACACCAACAATGTTAGTTCCTGACATCAGAAGATTAAGTTTAGAATGTTCCTTTTAGCATTGCATTGTATAAAGAGTGTTTTTCTCGTCGTGTTTTAGGAACAGCAACAGTTAAACAACAACAACAACAATGTAAGTTACGGGCTTCGGAAGTTTAAGTGTTTAGAATGTGAAAAGTCTTTCAAATTCAAGCACCACCTCAAGGAACATGTCCGTATCCATAGTGGCGAGAAGCCATTTGCCTGTCCGAATTGTAACAAGAGGTTCTCTCATTCAGGCTCGTATTCATCTCACATGACCAGTAAAAAGTGTCTTATAGTGAACGTGAAGGTAAGATATTTATTTGTAAAAGTTTTGTACTTAACATATACTAAAATATTTTAAAACCTAATTATTCTGATACCCATTTAAAGACAAATAATATTATGTTTGTCTTTACGCAATACTGTTTTTATCATACGTCCCTTAAACGAATCGTAATATTAGTTAGCATAATGGAAACCATAAATAATTTCTGTAAATTTATTTTAAGATGTCAAAAACTATATTTAGAACTTGTACTAAAGTGTTCATCCTAAGATGTCAAAAACTATATCTAGAACTTGTCCTAAAGTGTTCATCCTAAGATGTCAAAAACTATATCTAGAACTTGTCCTAAAGTGTTCATCCTAAGATTTCAAAAACTATATATAGAACCTGTCCTAAAGTGTTCATCCTAAGACGTCAAAAACTATATCTAGAATTTGGCCTAAAGTGTTCATCCTAAGATTTCAAAAACTATATCTAGAACTTTTCCTAAAGTGTTCATCTTAAGATTTTTAAACTACATCTGCCCTATCGACGGATCAACGGTAAGTCTGAGGGCTTATAATGCTAAATATCGGGTTTAGATACTCGCGATGAGCATATCACAGATACCGCCATTGTTAAGTTTTACGCTTAATAACAAAGAAAAACATAAACTACAGCTGAGATTGGCAGAACAAATTTATCTCAAGATATCAAAATTAAGTCAGTAGTATTCCGCTTTTAAATCAAATAAGTTTTAGAGAAGTTGTTGTTGTTATTAAGCACAAAGCTACACAAAGGGCTATCTGTGATCTGCCCACCACGGGTATCGAAACCTGGTTCCTAGCAGTATAAGTCCGCAAACATACCGCTGTGCCACTGGGGGCATTTTCAGTAACTTCCCTCTACGAACAATCTGATCTTATTATGACCAAGATGGCTGAATCATCCACTACTAGGAATTCACTTAAGTGGCTGTGCTCCCAAATTCAACACAAGGGGACTTATCCAGTATCACTACACCTTCTAAAGGATGCCCTCGTGGGGTCAAAGGTTTCTGACGTCACGACTCCACAGATGTGACATGCAATTACACGATCAAAAATTCAGCTTTTATGATTGCTGATTCCCTTGTTGAGGCCGTTATACTGGGTTAACTGGAAGTATGTCACACATCACAACCCAAAGACCGTGTCATGGTCAGAAGTTTAACACGGTACTACTAATGTCTGAAAGTAGCCATAATGTTTTTATCCTAAGGAGAAAAAACGACATCCAGGAATTGGCAATAATATTCTGAAAAATAAAAGCGTCGTTGGTTTTGGTAATACAGGTTTGTTAACAACATCTTTAGTGTTTCTTGTACATTTATTTGCCAGTGGCAATTTAAAAAAAAATGTTAGAAGAACATTTTCTAAAATAATTTCTAAAATATTACTAAAAGTAAGAGATATGATAAAATTCATGCCTGATCGAACCACCCACGAATTTCGTTTATTTTTCGTTTATTTACAATAACCTTAACAATGTTACTCCTAACACATTACTATGCAGGGAACATATACTTTTATTAAAACAATTATTAAATACTTGTCTTAAAACAGAGTTATTTCTTTGTATTAGGTTCGGAAAGTAGACACAAAACTTTTGCAAGGTCGCGGAAATAAACAAAACACCATCCGCCCAATTGTGCCAAAGTACCACTTAAGTAGTCTTGTTGCCATTGGTTCTTCTGAAGACTATGTACCTACAGAAGAAGAATTTTCAATAGATGTAACCAAACAAAAGAAACCTCAAGCTGCAACCCAGTCTACGCTCCCTTTAGAACTTTCTTTACATAGTGTTCTTGATCCTCAAAACCCAAACACTCGTACGAATTATCTACCAGTTTCAACACTAACTAGCGTTTCAAATGTTCTCTCCACAACTTCGAGTCTATCATCATTATTACTTAGTCCATCAAAGTCATCAAATACCGATCTTGATTTTGAGACAAAGAGTGGAGAGGAAGCTAACATTTCTGATAAAGAACGAACAACTACATCTTCGTCTCCGAATTTCTCACCAGAGAGTGATCTAAAAGCTGTTAAAAAAATTCTTGAAATTGTAGACGAAACGATTGCTAAGCAGCAGCAGACTCGCGATTCCAAAAATGGACGTAGCGGGCTTCTCTCTGAACTATTGAATGTACCCCCATTTTATCGTCCCCTGAAGATTCCTCTAGGAAAACTACTATCTAGCTTGAAGATAGGGTCTAGCCCAATTGATCAAGAGCAATTTCAATGTAAATCTGGTGATGAGCAGTTTGCAAAGAGAATTAAATATATCCAGTATGATCGGTACAAAATATGTGCAGATAGTTCAAAGTCAGCCAATGAGAATGTAAATGGTGAAAATAGTCTAGAGAATGATACAATAAACGGGGAGGATGTTGATAATTTGGAAGGTGTTGTCATACAACATGAAAACTCTTCCGATCTTGAAAGATGCTCACCCAGATCGTCAATTGAAAGTGAAGATGAAAGAAATCCGGGTAAAACTGCCAGAACTCTTTATTTAAATGATGAAAAAAATGTTCCAATTCATAATATGTTAAGTGGAAATAAGTTAATAGCATTAGAAGCTTTTCATAATCGGAACCCAAATCCAGCAAAATACGAAATCATGAAGATGGCAAGAGAAATCGGATGCTCTTCAAAAATAGTACAAGCCTGGTTTCAAGCTAAAAAAGATAAAAACATTTATAAAAATCCGCCAATCCAAATACCGAAGGTTTCATTTACAAAGTACACGAAAATAGAACCGTCATTATCGTATGAGGATCAGTCATATTATGATGGACACTTCCTGAACATCCCGCAGTACAAACCTCAGTCTCTGCTCAATTTTCCTGCCATGTCAGATTTTCTCTCAAATTATAAGAGTGTGATTCCATCTGGTAGAATCATACCACCTTCTGCTCACAGTCAAAATATCTTCTTTGGCTGTGGATCTCCATGTGTCTTTCCACCCTATTTTGGAACACATGAAAATAAGTTGTTAAATACTCAGTTTGTTGAGCCGGACTGTGATTTGCCGCTGGATCTATCTTTAAACAAAGAACGGACTTCCCCTCATCATGAAAACGATCACGATAATTTTAAAGCACAAGATTACAAATGTGAAGTAATAAACCTTAGTCAAAAATCCAGTCGTATATCAGTTGTCTCGAACAAAAACACTGAACATTGTGCCACAAACGGAAACTGTGTTGAAAATGTGAGTACTACACTTTTTACACACAGATACGAACACCAAGGTAACGCTTTCAGAGTTCTTACCAAAGATAGATCTGCTGGATCCGTGGTGTATAACGATGTTGGGACGTGTGATAATTATCCCTCCAATTCCACAAGCCCTCATCATGAATACCCAAGAATGTCTGTAATTATGGACAACAGGCCTTCAAGTCCCACTAGTGGTTCTTCGCTAGGACTAAATCCTCATTCTCCAGGAAGTGAAGAAATACCATCTTCACCCGAACAAAACAGCCTGGAAGGAAGATTAACTCCAGCTATTAGGAATGAAAGATCTGACACAAATGTGTATCCTCCGGATAGCAATGAAAGCTGGCAAGTGGACAATTCGAAAAGGTTCGGGAGAAAGGTATTGCTAATTTTGAGTGGTTAGAAATTCGTACTTTTTAGAATTAGTGATTATTTATAGAAGCGTATATTGTAGGGTGCAATTAATGAAAGGTGCTCTAAGATAGATCTAATCAAAAACGTTTAATCCAATCAAAATGTTTTTTTCGTTTTTCACGTCAAGATTTTACAGAATAACGTAGAGTAATGATACAAAAAAATATACAAAAACAAAATTGTCCGAATTTCAGTATACATTTTCTCCATTTTATTTCAAGTACAAGTACTATCATATAACATCGAAGTAATATATTACAAAATCGTTCTCAGGTTAGCAGAGAAGGGCATCGAATTGTCGCAGAAGAAAATCTAAAACCTGAGCAAGGTGATGTGATTGAGGTGAAAAAGAAAAAGCTTTCAGTAGGCAAGTCAGAAGGAGAAACTTTATATGGATGTGACCAGTGTACCAAAGTGTTTAGCAAACAAAGTTCACTGGCTCGACACAAATACGAACATTCCGGTAAGTCAGTCAAGAAAACACTTAAATGAGTTCTTTTCTTGCTCATATGGAGAAAATAAATCTCCTGAAAGACATCAACAGAATGCCAGCACAATGTTATTTAGTAGACATGGATGATACAGTGTTACCTGAACAGTACTTATAAGTGGCTAGCTAATCAATCATTGGCTTCAGCTAACGCTTGCATGTGCGTCAGAAACGAGATAAAATATTAATAATCAAGAAATAAGTACGTAAAATAAACAAAATCAGAAAAATTATATACAAAAGTCGCGAAACATCAGCTTATATATATTAAGGAAAATATTAAACCTGGTATGGCTTGGCGGCTAGGGCGCTCGAATCCCTGTCACCGAACGTGCTCGTCTTTTAAGCCGTGGAGGTGTTATAATGTGTTGGCCAATTCCACTATTCGTTGATAAAAGAGTACCGCAAGAGTTGGCGGTGGGTGATGTTGACTCTAGTCTATCACTTCAAAATTAAGATAGCCCTCGAGAAGTATTCCGCGAAATTCATCAAACAAACAAGAAAATTATTAAATGCTATCAACTGTATAAACACTGGTATAAACAAAGAAGAAGCATTTAAATAGTGTAGTTAGGTGTTAAAATGACAAAGACTGTTTTTACTACTCGAGTTTTATGTTTATCTGCTAAGTAGGTAAGATTTATTTCAGTTTGAAGATTAACTTATTTTTAATTATCTTTTATTTGGAGCAAAGTTCTCTCACGTAGGTAATAGTTTTCTTTTCTTTTAAAATGTCTTTTTAGGTCAAAGACCTCACCAATGCAGTGAATGTAGCAAAGCCTTCAAACACAAGCACCATCTAACGGAACATAAGCGACTTCACAGTGGCGAGAAACCTTTCCAGTGCCAAAAGTGTCTGAAACGATTTTCTCATTCCGGCTCCTTCAGTCAACATATGAACCATCGATACAGTTACTGCAAGCCTTACCGAAACTAGAAAACAAGGAAATGTACAAATATGGTGCCAAATATTACGTTTTCTTTCTTACCTTTAATTGATGACAGAGTTTTTTCTTTTTACATAATTATAAGAAATCTCACGCTTCTTTGAATTTAAGCATGTCGACAACGATTTCAAATAGCTTCCTAATTTAATTAAAAATTAAATGTGAATGCATATTGCCTTTTGTTGCCTTTCTCGGTACAACGAGAGAGACTGTCAAAGTAATTCATAAAACCATTTGCCCAATTCATCGAAACTTAACTATGAAAAACTTGTAGCATGTTGTATAGTTGTTAACACAACTCTTTTTTTTTTCTGAACATTTACACTTTTTGTTATCTTTATTTTGTATGAAATTATTTGTTGAATAACGTACTGTCACAAATGTGCATTAGTTAAGGAGACTTGAAAGTGGTGACATCTGGAGACAAATTGAAATCTCAGAATTGTTTTGTTCACAGTTATCACATTATCAGATAAATTTAAACCAATCTTTTGGTTCAATATGAAAAAGGACAGAATTCGATAACTGCCCTTTGAGTATTAAATTCTCAAAATTATACATTAGGGTTAATCTCTATCAGATTTCCATGAACGATCGTTTGAAAATATTTATAGTGATTTATTTGGTAATTACTCTCTGATTATAAGATTCTCCAAACTGCACATTACCGTTAAACTCAGCAATGAGATTTTTATCAACCAGTAATAGGAATGATTATTTGAATAATGTCTGTAATAATTCAGTGTAATATTTGTAAATTCACCTACGTAGAAACTATTGTAATTTGTCACTTATGAACACTATTGCTGTATAAATTGTGACAGTGAAAACAAGAGATTTTGAGAAGATTGAAAAGCGAATTAGCACAAACATTTGAAGGTGTTTTGTTCCGAACTTTATTTTTTTTCTTTGTAAGTTGCAGAATTGTTGTTTAGAAAAGTGCCAATTTTTAAATTTTAAGAAGAAATTGAGATTAAGAGAAAACTTATATACTCATATTCTATATGTAATTAGAATTATTTTGTAAACTCCTACATCGTGTGCCAAAAACATTTTAGTTATATTTAATATTGTTGAAGTCAATAAAACAATCTCGGAGTCTACTTAGAGTCATTGTACCGTGTATTTAACCACCAACCTGTCTTATCTTGACTTTACCAAAGGAATTAACCAAACCTGGTTATGCTAATCTTGTTCCTTAACAATAGAGACCTGGTTTTAACAAAATCCTAGTTTTAACATTAACAAAAAGGGCTCAACAAATTTACTTTTAAAATTGAATATGTATGGTATCTCTACTGTTTTTCTAATATATTACTATCCAATCTCTGAGATCACAAGTGTTAAGTAAAGTAAAATATGAAGATTTAAAGATTGAAGAAGGATGTACTGTTTCTTATAATTTTTATACATCAAAATTCTTCGCCAATGTTGTTTATTAGTTATATATGATGAAGTAGCTAAATTAACGTGTGACAGATCATATACACTTATAGTTTTCCATTCCTATATGAAGTTGAAATTTCTGTTTTGTTTTAAAGCATACAGATTATATAATTTAGTTTGTTCTAAATTAAATGTACGAAGATTTCCTGTGATTAACTATAATTTAGAGATACAACGAAATTAACCAATGAATAAAAAGTTTTAGTTTCACAGGTGTCAAGAAACAAAATTGTTTATTAGAAGTGATTTAACTGCACATTATAAATTATAGCAGTTGAGTTTAATTTTGTGCAGTTTTCCAACTGTATGATGATATGGATATCTTGTTCTAAGATTTTGCTGTATTTTTACTAATCCTTACGACTAAAAAAAAATCATAGTTTTTTATTCCTTATAAAAAATTACAATTTTTGATAACACAGACGCCATCACGTTCTCAGTGTTTTTTCAACACTCACATAATTATACCGTATAAGCTCAGAAATATAATATCTATATAAATTATGTTTCACACAGATTGATTAAAAATAGGAAAAAGAAACTGATAAAAAATATTTATATACGTATTTTTTCCAGAATCAATTAACATATTTTCTCCCAAAAGTGAATGTCAAACAAACTAAAAGTAAATATATTTTCGGTTTTGTTATACCTAGGAGAGCTATTGTTAAATAGAAACGTCCTACGCCATAACTATGTTTTGTTCTTCGTAATAGGTTTGAAAAGATAAAAATTATGGGCATGATAATGGATCATATAGAAATTTACGGAAAAATGGTATCAAGTATCTTTATATTCATATCATCAAACATTTGTGAAAACTGTTGAAATGGATTTATATTTTTTGAGGATTTTGAAATTAAAAAATATATTGATTATTCTATATATATACTAATTACTAACTTGTGGTATTGTATTGATACTTGGTTCAATAATTTTAAGCAGAGATACTTCCGTGTGACGTCTAGATTGAAAACAGTTTACAATAATTTTCAAGATAAATATTGTTTATATTATATGTATTTGTATTTTCAAATATTTTATAATCAAATGCTTTAATAGTACATTGAAATATTCCTATTTTGATTTATTCTACATTTGTTAGGTATATAATATTTGAGCATATGTATCTATGTTGCTTTTATTAGGTAGACATAGTTCGTATTTGAGCCCCTAGATGGCAAACCCATTGCTTGCCAGAAGTGTTAGAATTGAAGTAACATCTGTTTTAAATTTATAAGAAAATATCTTGTAATTAATATTTTAAAGTTTCACTAGAAGAACTTTTTCTTTTTATATAACAAAGAAAATAACCGACAAGAAAGAAAATCTATTTGCGGTAATTATAATGATTAAGAATAAAATCAGTAATTATTTTTGAAATGAATTTAGAATTAACGTTTAAAAAAGACATGTGATAACATAGAATTATGAAAATACAACTTTTAACTTATATTAATCAAGCATTGATAGAGGTAGTACGTAAAATTCCACTAAATGTGATAAAATTATTCAAACAATTCATATTGAAAAGAAAACCTAAATATCTCCAGTTCAACATGTGACGACTTCCTTGGCCCCAACACTGTGATGGTAGCGCCATCTACATACTTAAATATGAAGATTTGACACTGGAGTTAAGAACCTAATCAAACATAAATGTTTTTTGTTTCGACTTTTTCGTATAAATGGTAATCATGTAAAGTTTCCGATGTGTATTGTTTACTATTGATAACCATAAAATTAAAATTTGTTCTGATTAAACACATCAGTCATAAAACGAATGAGCATCTTGGTTTGTTCTAAAAGAACGCGCCCTTTACAGTAAACAAATTTCATTGGCAGGCGTGTTAACTTCCTGTTACTTTATCAGTGTAATAGTAATGATGTAACACGTATTAATTAGATACTATTTGCTAAAAAAAATTATATTGGCAAAGTGTTTTGTCTTAACCATTAACGAACTTAATCGATTTCATTTAGTTTTGAACACGTTGTTACTGACATCTGTTACAGATTTCAGAACAAACTGTGCGTGTTAACTTGTGTACAATATTGTTAGGACTCGTTTATACCCGATATCAGATTACGCTTTAAATTATATTATATTCTGACTATGTTATTATAGATGAAGGTAAGGTGTTAAATCTGTTGGGAAAATATGGAATATTTGTGTTAACAGAATATTTCATTGTCTACCTATTTCGGTTCATTACAAGCTTCTTTTTTTTTCCTAAGCTTTTGAATCTCGAACGTCAAATCCAAAGAAATTCATAGGCGTCGCCAAGGGGAAGGTCGGTAGGCGCGAATGACACACCTTTTTAAACCTCAACTACATTTTGATGGTCACGAAAAATTAAATCTGGTGCACCTAAAACTGCCTAACGTGGCGCTATAAATTTATTTTCTTAACCTTCTTTGACTGTTTCTTTAATGTGACATGAACTTTGCTATGGATCGTGTACTGGACTGCTACTGACTCACGGTTTACTTAGGCCTAAATGTGTTACTGATTTCAGAAATGTCCACCCCTGAAAAAAACCCTGGCGACACCAATGAAATGTTATTTTAAGTTGTAACGTTATTTTTATTGTTTTTACCATCTTTATTTGTTTTCGTGCAATAATATATATTTTGTTTTTCGTGATTTATTTTTCAAGTGGTATATTTGTATGTTTTTGTTTTGTCAGATCTTCTAGGTAAAGTATATAACATAAAATCTTAGATAAAAATTTTACTTTTTACAAAAGAAATATCGTGCCAATTTCATATATGCCACCTGAAACATTGTTGTAACAAATGAAATTATAAAGGCATACTCAGAAAATGTGGCGTTTTCATTGTCCATGAAAACTTTGGAATAAATAAAATTACACGTTTTAGATAAGCCTAACATGCGAAATTCCTGTTTCTTATGAGAATTCGTAAAATGCGAAGCTAGAACTATTTGATGTTATATTTGTGCAACTATTTATTTCATTGTATTTTTCCAACAATAACGGATCTTCTTCAAAGACTTATATTGTTTTTTTTTCTTGAGAACCTTTGTCAACTCCCATTAGACTTCTCAAACCATGTCTATTTTTCACAAAAAGCTAGCACACATTAATATATCTCTCTACACACGTATATACGTGTGTGTGAGTGCGTGTAAACATTTTTTTTATTAAGATAATTGTAAGTTATATATAAAAAATTGAGTAATAAACTGATACGAGTTTCCAGCTAAAATTCCTATTTAAATTTCAAAGGTAGAGCTCTCGCAATTTTAAAATTGCTCATTGTTTTTAAAAACTCAAAACTTTTTACTTTTACAGTTTACAGACTTTTCTTTCATATTTCTGATTTTTCTTAATACCTGGCATATTCCCTGAACAACAACACTAGCTATCTGCTAACTTACAGTTCAAAGTAAACGATTTCACAACTTTCATGTTAATGTAAGTATGTGACAGATAGGAACCAATATCAACAAAATGTAACGTGGTTCCAAATTACCTCATTGAAATAGAATGCGATCATAAAAATTAATTCATTAACAAAATTTTTGTATTTTGCTAATTCTATAATACAAATAAAAGGTATATTATAATGCAGGCAACCTAAGAATGACAAATACATTAATGGGATTTAATTTTTGTTGTTAGTCTTTAAAGAAAATTGACCAAACAAAACAATGTTCATATGTTAAAAATGGCCAATATAGAACAATGTTCATATGTTAAAAACTGACTAACTCTGAATAATATTCAACATGGAATAATGTTCAGGTGTTAAAACTGACTAACTCTGAATAATATTCAACATGAAACAATATTAAGATGTTAAAACTGACCAACACAGCGCAACGTTCAGATAGAAAATGTTAATAACTAGAAAAAATCAGACTTAAAACATCTAACTGTTACTATTCGTATCGTTGTTGCATGTGTGTGTATTTATTTGTTCGACATATTTTATTATACAAAAATATAAAAAATATAAAAAATAATATCAAGAAATATTTGAAAATATTTTTCTTGCTTTAATATCCTTCCATATGTTTTAAAACATGTTTGTTATTTTACAATAGCAAGTTATTTTTTTTGAAAAATAAATAAAACTTATTGATAAAATATTCATATCATCGGAAAATATAATGAGGTTTTTGTTTGTTTGTTGTTAAGAACGAAGAAACACAATAGTCTGTGCTAACCACAGTTATAGAAACCAGGTTTTTAGCATTGTAAAACTACAGACATACTGCTAAGCTACTGGAGAGGGTCTAGTTGTAAAAAAGGCAATCATATATTGTATTTCCTCAAGTAACAAAATAAGTTTACTAACCCCTGCAAGTTGTTTTTTTACACGACAAAATATTTGTAGTCAACGAGAAAAAGCTTATCAAGCTCGGATGTGTCGTATTTTTGTTCAACTGTTGTACATATAAACTAATTGAAAAAACTTGAAACACACATTGATTTTCATGAGATTCAAGACAAAATAGTAGTTACGTTCCAAAAATATATATATATTTCTAAAACAGAGCGATTTAAGTATCCAAAATCCTTAAACATATATATTTCTAAAACAAAGCGATTTAAATATCCAAAATCCTTAAACATATATATTTCTAAAACAAAGCGATTTAAATATCCAAAATCCTTAAATAAATATATGTATATATATATTTCTAAAACAAAGCGATTTAAATATCCAAAATCCTTAAACATATATATTTCTAAAACAAAGCGATTT